TACCAGCTTCATCACTGTGTCTGTCACGCGACTCTGTTCCCCTTTCGGGCTTGAACTGATGGTAAAACTAATGACATTATTTACTGTCTCTACATTTATTTTGAAAGCTGAAGCTCGCGATTATGGTAAGGGGCGTTACATTTCCGACGAGTGCTTGCGGTGTTCAGCCAATCACAATGCACTGGGTCAGCTGGCCAATCAGAGCAGACTGCGCTTGTCGGAAGGAGGGACTTTGTCGAAAACTAAGCGTTTGAGAGAGGCGGGGCATAGAGGACCTACAATAATGTACAGTATTTGAAAAATAATGTGTTTTTTGAACATTAAAGCATATCAACATATTCTGTTACACCAAATACACAAAATAATGATCTTTAAAAAAGCATCATATGACACCTTTAAACAAACGTAATTAATGTGTAATAAGTAACGTGGGAACTTTTCTTTTTGCCACTCATATATGTTTTCAGCTTAAGTCTGAAACAGTATCCACACTGTAACTCAAATGTCATTTTACACCCCTGACTTCAACTCAGCTTATCATTGCCTTCAGGAACAGGTTAAGCGGAGACCAACTCGCTACAAAGGCTTCGAGCAGAAACCTTCAGACATTTCAAGAACACCTCCAGTGTGAGGAGCAAAAGAGCTGATACTAAATCCCCTGCAGCCTGTTGACTGTCAGCATCTAAACACTTGACACCCAGCATGCATCACGAGACACTGGTGCTACGTCAGTCCGAACCCGGGCACATTACAGGACTGCACCAGCCAGGCCTGTCCCACCCGGGGCCACACTACAGCCTAACCTACACTTAGGAAAAGGAAGAGCGCCGGCCCCACATTCAGACATGTTTGTTTATGCAGCACTTCATGTAAAGAAAAGAAGAATAGAGGTGGAGCCACAAGTTCATATGAATCTCACGTAGTCATTTAGTCTCGCAGTTGAATAACCAGTCCACTGGGACACAGCCAGAAGGCTGTTCATCCAGTTCCTCTCTCCATTGTTTCTAATCAACAAGAAAAAATGACATTTAAGAGAGACACAACGTCACATGAAGTCAATGAACACCCAGAGGCCCGGACATACATGAACATACCACAGGAGATTTGGAAGACAACTGTTGCCTTACAAATGGCTATTGTGTTGCATGACAGCAAAACTTGGCCGAAGAGAGATTAAAAGCACAGTTAATCACAAGTGAACATGCATTTGAGTTTTAAAAAGACCTTTCTTGGTGCTTCATGTTGAGATTGAAGTCTCACAGAAGCACAACGGGAGACATTACCGATCTGATAAGGCTGCTAATTACAGGGTCATCCAGCAGGTCACATACTCGTGCGGAGACACTGCGGGCAGAAGATGTGTCCTCGATTGTTTAATCACCGTTTCTGTGCATGCTGCCTTTTCCTAATTGTGCACATAAAATGTGGAGCACATCCATACCGGTAAGAGCTGCAGAGATTGTATAAAGATTTCTGAGGCACAATAGGGTGCACAGAGAAAGAGAAAGCGAGAGAGAAGGAAAGGAAGGGGGGCAGTGCTGTGATCTCAGCTTTCCACTGAACATTTATGGTCAAGATTAAAAATAAGCTCGGTTTGTCTCTGATTTAGGCTGACATTTTAAAGCATGAGTGGGGGTTAGCCAGAATTAAGTCATAGATGTTTGAAGGCGCATTACACTGATATTTCCACATACATTTTCTTGCTAAACAGCAACCTGGTGGTGACTTTAATGTATGTTAATATTACACAGAAGAGCGCTTCCCATCATCTATTTTTGCAATTGCATTTACAGGAATGAATGGCCATTTCATTTTGAACTTTGACACACAGTGTACTTTTGAAAACTACCCTTATTACAGTCAATGTAAACAAACTTTATGTGGGCACACTCAGCCCTGTTCATTACTTGTTACTGCAATAGAATTAGCTGTTTGCACTGTAATTTTTTTTTAAAAATTTTTTGTGATTAAAACCTTAATATTTACTTTAATCTGTGTATCCTACTTTATTCAGGTGGATTCAGCATAAAATATTAATACACTACCATTCAAAGGTTTGGGGTCTGTAAGTTTTAAACTTTGAAAGAAGACTTATGCTCACCAAGGCTGCATTTATTTGCTCAAAAATGCAGTGAAATCAGTTTTATTTTGAAATATTATTAAAATTTAAATGAACTGTTTTCTATTTCACTGTATTTTACACGATCCTTCAGAAACCATTCTAATAAGCTGCTTTGCTGCTCAAGAAACATTTCTTATCATTATCAATGTTGAAAACAGTCCTGCTTAACATTGATACAGCTTAACCGTGATACATCTTTTTAAGGATTCTTTCCTGAATAGAAAGCTTTAAAGAACAGCAGTTAGTTTCAGTTGAAATATTTATTTTCCCACATGAGGCACACTTTTGTGTGTACCACAAAAAAAACACTACATCTGTAAATCAACTCACATATACCTTACTAAAATGTGGCTTAATAAGTTTTACAAATTAGCATTTATTCAAATTAAAAATAAAGCT